AAAATACAATATAAAATAGACCTAAATAAATAAGAAATAAATATAATCCAAGAGTTGATGTTAATTGGTAAGTAGCTCAGGGAGCATCATCAGGGCGCCAGCCACCCCCAGGGTTGATTAAAATTCTTGTTGCAAGTAAAATAAGGCCAGATGGTAAACTAAATATATAATGAGAGTTTATTGGACTAAAAGCTATCTAGCTCAGCATCTCGTTTCCTACAGTGACAGTCAGAAGTCAAACAGAAGACGTAAGTGTAAATCTCTTCAAAGCTATGATTCCCCAGAAAATAGCATGCAGAAGGATATCTTAAATTCCCTAAAAGAAACTTCCACAAAGCCATTTGTGCCCTCCAGAAACTTAGCTCAGCTGGCTTTATTGAAAAATGGCTTATAATAAAAATGTCATAAACTGTGTATTTGCAAAATCATTCAGTGTTAAACTATTGCAACCAATTTACTTAACAAAACTAAGAATGTTTTTGTTTTTTTAATTTAAGGTGAGTCTATTCCCATTAGACTCTTCTTGGCTGGCTATGATCCTACTCCTACAATGAGAGATGTAAACAAAAAATTTTCAGTAAGATACTTCTTGAACCTAGTGTTAGTAGATGAAGAAGACAGACGGTACTTCAAGCAGCAGGTATAATGTTCTACAACTGGAATATTCTAATGAAATTGATTTATTTATAGTAGCTTCCAGAAATGTGGCAGTCTTTTACAGCCAAAAATTGTATTAAAGTATGTGCTTTAAAATATATTAAACACTAACATCACAAACCTTTTTGGTTTTGTCTCAGGGAAGTTGTCATAATTACAGAATCTGCACCCACTGAACAGAAACTTTCCAACATTAAACTGTATGCTTATGAATGTTATGTTTAGACATTACTTTATAACCAGCTAATATTGATGTCTTAATATGGTCTTAAAACACCTCCTTCTCACAGTAGGATACAGGTAGTCCTCGTTTAACTACCTTAATTGGGACTGGAATTTCCATTGCTAAGTGAAGAAGTCATTAGGCTAAACATCATGTGACCACATAGCTTAGCAACAGCAGTTCTAGTAGTTTTGGTTTCAGTTGTTAGTCCAGAACCACGGTGTCGTTAGGCGAGGACCTCATACTTTTCCTGCCCTGTTGCACTCGCCTCTGCTTCAACTCCCTGCCACCTATCTACCCCCCTTTTGGCTGCCCTGCATTTTGCCACTGTCTACCCCCCGTTGACCTTTGCCATCTTCTTCCTTCTGCTGCTGATGAGGCACACTCGGTCAAGGCAGCTGCTGACCCTTTGTGAAGCTGTGCAAGGGAGGTCTTGCACAGTGTTGTGGAGGCCTCGTGAAGGGTCAGCAGCTGCCTCGATCAGGCACGTCTCAGCAGCAGCAGAAGGAAGAAGACGGTGAAGGTCAGCGGGAGGCGGTAGGAGTAGATGGTGGCAGAGTGCAGGGCGGCCTAAAGGGCATAGACGGGTAGGTGGGTGGGTAGAGTTGAAGTGCACGCTGCAGTTGTAAATTTTGTAAACCAAATTTTGATCACGTGACTGTGAGGGAACTACAGTGCCGTAACTTCAAGGACTGGCTGTAACTACCATTCGTTCAGCACCATTGTAACTTTGAATGGTCACTGAACGAATGGTTGTTAAGCAAGGACTACCTGCACCACTACCTTCATTCTGTTGTATAAAGGAGAATAAAAATGGTGCAGCTAAGTTAAGTATACTGTATTTCAGGAGATCAAAAGTACATGCAAAGAAATGGGCTGATTGGATAGTTTCCAGTGCAGCTGCTTGGTCTGTGACATAGACTAATACCAGTGTTTTAATCCAGTATTTTCTTGCATCTTGACATAGGAAATCATTCTCTGGAGGAAAGCTCCTGAGAAACTGAGGAAACAAAGAACCAACTTCCATCAGCGGTTTGAAAGTCCAGAACCACAAGCATCTGCAGAACAGCCTGAAATGTGAACTGGATCTATGGGATGAAAAACTGATATGTTAGTAGATCAACAGGTTAAAGGTGGCAACAGCCTGTAGGGAAGAAAGGCCAAACTCACATTACAACAGTCTTCCTCATCTTACAGTGCTGCATTTCCCACACTACTAAAACATTCTTCAAGTAAATATTCAATTGTGTACATACATTTAAAGTAAGTGCTTTCTGAAACACTGGAACTTTCTTAAGCTATTTTATACTGCACATTTTACTTTTGTCTGGTGTGATGCAGTCAGAGATACATAAAGCTTAAAGAAGTCTAGTTATGTGTTTCCATGCATGTAGTCTGGTGCATCTAAATTTTGCTTTCACTGATGGTAAACTAAAGCATTTCTTCTTTCTATATCCAACTGCATATCATACATATTTCCTCAGTGTCTGCTATCTGTAACATTGGAGACTTAATAAAAAATTGTCTTAAAATGATACATTCAGGTTTTATAATGATACTGTTATGTTTAGCCCAGGGAAGTAGATAATATGTATAAAATATTATGTATTTGGAATAGATCTGAGAGCATATTACTGTTTTCAGAATTTTCTGAGGAATGTGCGTAAGCAAGCTTCTTTCAGAATTAGCTTTTTAAGACGAGTGGCTGTGCTCTTTTTTTTCTTTCCCTTAGCTTACTCATTCCAATGACTCTATTATCAGGTTCCAATTCACTTCAAGATTTGCATGACCTGGGCTAAAATACAGAATTCTCTCATTAAACCTCGATTCAGTTAAGGGTGTGTGTATATGATAAAATGTTTTAATATAATTTTTACTAATTACACTCTTGAATACTGGATCATTTGCACAAAACTTTATTTTTGCATCAAATACGTGTTTTTCACCGTCCTCCTCAAATGTAGAAAAACATATTCCTTTTCCATTCTGAGCTTCTGTGAGGAAATGTGGGCTTGTACAAAGGTATATAGATGAAAAACACCTGAATTTCCCAAGATGGTATTCTTGTGCAGCAAAAGATTGGTTTATTTTTATAATTCATTCTGGAATGTAGTATCTTTGGGCAAATCTTGTTAGCCTCCATTTGTTCACAATTAACCATATAGTTTTCAGAACCACACTGCCTGTTTGAGCACACCATGGAACCTGTTGAATAGAAGGCTACTCACATTTACAATTCACTTGGCCTATTTATCAAAAATGTTTCTAAACTTCAGTGCAAGTATTGTTGGTTAACTTACTGTATGAGTAAGTAAAATCACTAAATTATATTTGGGAAAGAACTGTTTTATTACTGTGGCACTTTGATAAAGCCGAGAATACTGCGTGCTGGGATATTTCTCTTATTCTTAAAGCCTGTGATAGAGAGAACTTGATTCCCTCATGTAAGTGCCTGTTCAGAATTTCAAAAAAAAAAAAAAAAAAGCCAAATATTTTCATGGACACTTGCATGTTGCAATCTGGAAACTATTCCAAGAAATTTTGAAAATTGATTGTATTTAACCAGCCTCAAATTGTGCAACTATGTATAATAGATATAATGAATTGCTATTTGAATTATTAAAAATAGCTGTATTCTCACTAAAATTTCTTCCTCGACTATTTCATTTACAATGTCCTGTAGTAAAACTGTCTCTTCTAATTAATAGTATAGAATTGTTACTGACCTGCATGGCATCTAATCCATTACGGGATAGAAGAAAATTGTACTTTCATCTCCCAAGTTCGGTAATTGCCCATCATAAATCTTTAGATGGAAGGGGATGATGATTCTCAATGGATGCTATGCTTTGATCATAAATATCTTTGTAGAGGGATGTCTTTTAAATGGTAAAAAATTGTTGTAGGTGTAAATCTTCCAAAACTCCAAAGAAGAGACAGTAATATACTTAATAGTACCAATCTGTTAATTTATTGCAGATACAGTCTCAGTTATACATGTAGTTTCAGTGTCCATTTTTTCAATGTGCATGTATTCCTCTGTGCAGATTGCACTATTTTAGTGTAGGGGAGATAAAAAAAAATGCCCCTCTGATTGTTGTTATATTACAGCTCGTGGCAGCATGGTTAAGGAGGTGGGATGCTGTGTGTTACTGTTCAACTGAGGGGCCACTCGTTCTGCTCCAGTGCTGTAATTATGAGAGCATTTGTGGAACACTGATTTAGGTTAATTTTCAAATCTATAAACCAAGCATAAGTATAATGCTGAAGATTTGGGAAAATGTTATTACTGAATGGTCTCAAATCTGAGAGCCAGTTAGGTGTAGTGGTGAGGCACCAGGCTAGAAACTGAATGAGTCTAGTCCTACGTTAGGCAATAAGCCAGCTGGATGACCTTGGGCCCCAGTCACACACTCTTAGCCCTGGGAAGAAGGCGGCAAAAGGCAAACCACTTCTGAAAATCTTGCCAAGAAAACTGCAGGGACTAGTCAACACTAGCTCAAAGGTAGACACAAAAGTCTCAAATCTAAGTCTGAGAATTTCTATTTTAATAAAATGAAAGCAATACTATTTTTAGAAATAGTATTTTATTTCTATATTCTGAATGTTAGCACTGACTATGGTATCAGACAAGAATGATTTAAGGGCAGAGGTGGGTTGATTTCTGATCTTGCTGGATTCCTCCCTTACTCTTCTGACATCTTCATATTTAATTTACAAAACAATTGTCTTATTGTTTGAAGCATAATTAGTTTACAAGATGGGAATATTTGCTTAATACAAAAATGTCTACTGAGTGAAAGTCTAGAATTAAGTGGACTTAAGAAATTCTAATATTAAGGATCTTTTGATGACCTGATGAAGTGTTACCTGAAGTGAGAATAGGCAGAGTAATAATGTACGATGAATATTCCTATTTCATATTAAGCTGTTCAGATTATTGAATATATTAAGTTTTTCCCAAGATAGAGCAAGGCTAGCTGTTTTGTGTAACATTCCTTGCATTATGGGCGTATTTATCCACTGGAGGATCAAATGACAGAAGTGACTATGGACTTCTTTATGTCCCTTAGCTGTAGGATGAACACGCCCTGGTAACCATTTTTATATGACACACCCTCATCACCTTGCCTTTGTCTCATCTCCAATCCACACCTGAGGCAATTTAATTCACCTTTACTTGTTCCAGTTAGGTACAGGTAGTCCCCGGGTTAAGAATGCCTGATTTAACGGAAACCCATAGTTAAGAATGGAGCGTATGGTGGCAAAATTCGAGTTAAATACACAGTGATTCAAGTTAATTGCACAATTATTCAAGTTAATTACACAATGCTACTTACACAGTATTATACAATAATACTGTTCCAGCTTACATACAAATTCGACTTCAGGACAGACCTTGGGAATGGGACTCGTTCTTAAACTGGGGACTACCTGTAGTACTTTCCTTCTCCTGACGTAGTGTTTGTCTTAATCTACAAAAGCATGTTAACTGTGACTATGTGGTTGACGACGTGGTCAGGGATTGGAATCTGCCCAGCTCATATTGCTCTTTTATGCTGCTGCAGGCACTTTGCCTGCGTAACACCAGACAGACACCTTCCAAAGCGCTTAAAAGGTTTTATGTGGGTGAGCTTTTAGTACTCTTTTGAAAGAGTTTTTAAACTTAAGTTTAGTGCTGTTTTGAATGAGTGCTAGTCCTGTGTTTAAAACATGCTGCTGTGCTGCGAAGAGTAGTTTAAACAGGGAAAAGAGCCTGGTTCTACAAACAATGTTGCTTGTTCGGTCATATGATGTGCAAAACAGATTTTTGCTCTCCTGCTGACAGTAGTTCCCAAGGCCACGTTTTTTACTGTTTACACGTTTTATTGTTTCTGAGAATTTGTGCATGAGCACTATACCTGCCATCCTGACTGGTCAGTACACCTGGGACCAGTACCATGAAACTGCACCTGTGGCAACTTGTGATTGCTTAGGTTCCCCATGGTGTAGGGACACCATTTTGCCTGATCTACTGTGGCCTAGTTACGATAACCAATCAGAATCGTGGCCCCCAGCTACTTCCAGGTGCTGCCAGCCACAAGTTCAGAACTGGACTTCTTGGCCACTATCAGCCCCATCATTCCCTTGTAGCACTAACTGAGGATGGGGCTAATTTGCTTCCTTCTACTGATTTTGGGCTCCTTCCTTCTTCATAGTAGCCTGCAGACAATCAGCCAGCCAGGAAAGCAGCCTCCGGAGTGTTGATGGGGAGCAGTTGAAAAACAACAGAGACAACCGCACTGCTGGAAATCTGGGGTGAGGCAAAGAGATGCAGTTCAACTGCTGCAATATAGACATTTTCAAAATAAAGCTCAGAGGAATTCTTCAGGCACGGATACCACTGCTCGGGGACCAAATGCTAGACAAAGATGGTGTTTCTGGAGTGCGAGCACATCCTGGGTCATAATTTGAAATTTGGAAATGCTCTAGCAGTGTGCCTGTTCTAATCAGAGTTGCACCATATTCTCAGGGTTGGTTTCCTTACCAGCTCTAATGGTTACCTGTAAGGACACTTGCTTTCATGACAAAAAGTATCAGAGAAATGCAGCACTTACTGTGTTCAACAGCACAGTGCCTCAATTTCTGTTCTGAAGCAAAGCTTAAAAGTATTCCTTTTGTTCGTGAGAGAAGTCAAAGTGTCTGTGTCCCAAAATCAACACAGCCTAGTCCCTGGAATGCCTTTAGTAGATGTGGTGAGTTTGCCTACCACTGGGTTTTTACTGTGCTGGAAAGGATTTGAGGCTGAAAGGTGGGGAGGGTGAATTATTTGTGAATGTCAAAAGCAGCTGTACCTGTGGCCAGACCAGGTACACCAACACCCAGACAGAATAATGAGGATGGTGAGCTTCTGCTGTGTGGAATAGGCCTGAAAAGAGCCAGTGTAGTGTAGTGGTTAAGATGCTGGACTAGGTCTTTACTTGACAGAGTTGCTGCTATGGGAAGAAAATTGAGGGGAGAGTGCTATGTCTGCCACCCTGAACTCCAGGAGGAAAGTGGGGTATAAATCTAATGTAAAATAAAATAAATGAGACAACATGTTTGTTTGACTCCCCTTCCCAAAAAGGTTTACTTAAATATATGCAAAAACATAAAACAAATGGAAACTGGGGGAAGGAGGAGGATAGGAGAACGTGGATGGCTAGGGCAAACTGTTTCTCTGGGCCTCTGACTCTGCCCTCCACTCCTCCAGGGCACACAGTCTTCTATTCTGTGCTTCTAAACGACGGTTCATTGTTTTCACTGTTGAGAGAGGTCAAAGAGAGGTAACGTAAGAAGCTGTATCACCAAGGCTGATGATTGTGATTCCATTCAGAATTGGAAAAAACTATCTTAAAGGTACCACATCCCATGAGCTCACAGTAAGTTCAATTACTGTTCTTGGCCACCAAAGAGGGAGCCAACAGGAAATGGATATACAGGTAGTCCTCACTTAATGACAATAGGGACCAGAAAATTGGTTGTTAAGTGGCACGGTTGTTAAGCAAATCAGACCCAATTTTATGACCTTTTCACAGCAGTTAAGTGAATCACTGCGGTCATTAAGTAAATCACATGGTCATTAAGTGAATCCAGCTTCCCCATTGACTTTGCTTATCAGAAGCCCCATAGGAAGGTCGCAAATAGCGATCACATGACCCCAGGATGCTGCAACTGTCATAAATGCGAGCTGGTTGCCAAGTGCCTAGATTTTGATCATGTACTGCGGGGACGCTGTGATGGTTGTTAATGCAAGGACTGGTCTTAAGTCACTTTTTCTTAGCACCATTGTAACTTCAAACAGTCACTAAATGAATGGCTGTTAAATGAGGACTACCTGTACTAAAACAGTATTTCCAAGGAGAGCCAGGAAAGGTTAAAGCTTCTCTGCAACATGAAAAGCCCAAAGGTGTATTGGTAGAAGCAATTTTTTCAGAATATCTCACGAAAGTATATTGTGCCCAGGTTGCTGCTGACAGTGCTGCTCCTCTGATGGTGGAGCTGCTGTGCTGCCTGAAGGGGTCCATTTACTGTTGGCTGAGGAGCCCAGGGGGATACATTCCCTGACACATCTGCGGATGGTGGGACGTGTTTCAACTCCAACTTCATCAACTCCACCTTCCCCTATTGTGCCTTGAGGTAGATCGGTGTTTCTCAACTTTGGCAACTTTCAGCTGTGTGGACTTCAACTCCCAGAATTCCAGCATGCTTTCTGGGGGATTCTGGGAATTGAAGTCCACACAGCTGAAAGTTACCAAGGTTGAGAAACACTGAGGTAGATACTTAGCATCTCAATTAAGTACCTCCCTCAAATGAAAGCTGTTCAGTGCTTTCTCCCTCAAGAGTGCTCTGATAAGCAAGATGAATCCTGAGATGTCCTATTAGAGCCATCATCACTTTGGTGACCACTCTGGTATGGAGCCAGTCTAAAAGGGAATGGTTTGAACTGGTGTTATTCCTTTCCAATGTGCAAGTCTGATGGGAGTGTGTAGGTAAGTCTTTAACAGATCCAAAGAAGCTACAGAGTTGTTCAATAAGATGGCTTCTCTCATGGATTTCAACATTTTCATTTCTATCTGACCCTTCCTCTTGACTTCTGATCTGTCAATTCATTTGACTTGAAGCACTTTTCCCTCTGCTTGGGCAAACCTGGGAATGTTTTTCCTAGCTAGAGCGTGGCTGAAGGGGCAAATCCATAGTGGAGTGTCTCCCTGCCTCCTTGCTTTTTTTGATCCCAAGTGAGTATTGAGTAAAACAAAGTTGGAAATGGTTCAGGCTTACTGTTCTGGAGGACTGATACCCTGAGGTCCTCCAGGGAAAGGCGAAAGGCCTCCATACTGGTACTTCCTTCCCTTGCCTGGGATGTTGGTGCCAGAGCTGATGAAGCACCTCTGGTCTCAGTTCCTTTCCTCTGTAGTTTTCCTGTGGCACAATGTCAAAGTTATTTGAGATATGAGCACTTTGGATGACTATCTGAAATCATTCCTATTAGACAATGGACATATGGTTTGTTATGAACTGTACTGTTCCACTTCCAGTTTAAACTGGGCCAAGAAGGAGCTTTGGGTTAGAAAGTGGCAAAATGGGCAGAGGATGCATCTCTCTTAATTTGGCACATGACCTGCCTGGTGGTCCCCAGTGGCAGATGTTTTGAGATACTGGCTTACCATGTCGCCTGGGACTGTCCAATTCCTCCAGTGCCATAGCAGAAGTGGATGGCCTGGGGTCCTCCGAAGAGGTGGTTGGATGAGGAGGCACTGGATTAGGAAGCGGGGAACACCCCTCCCTCATTGTGCAGCCCTGAATGGATACACAAATGTTAGCAAGTACATGCAGACACATACTTGCCCACACCAAGGTCCACTGCTAGATTGGAAGCATGGTGCACACAGCACCTACGTCTGAGTACCGTGATGTTCTGGGGTGACAGGCTATGTGGGCAAAATCAATAGAACCCAACAGGTAGCCACAACTGCACTTACCGGTAGGCTCCTTCTTCCTTTGCTGGCTTTTGCCAGGATCTCTGTGGCTGCTTCAGGTGAGGACAGTGACGACAAAAGGACCCTCGCTGTCACCTGCTTCCTATCCTGACATTGGCACCCTGCGGATTGCCAACAGAGAGGCATTGGAGGATATCTCAGTAGTGAGCATGTAGGAGTAGAACACAGGAATGGATGCAAGAACAGTGGGAAGCTGCCCTTTTCCGAGGTGAACGTGCCAGGTATTGCAGCAGGTAGCTGCTTCAGCATGTCATGCCCTACATGATTGGTAATTAGAGGAAATGATCATACACCGGAAAAGAAAGAAGAGTTGACAACATGACCTGCATCTTTACCACACCAGTCACTCGTCCCTTACCACACACAAAATTCAGGGCATAGAAAAAATGCTCTTGCCCATGGTTGGATGCAACCCCCCCACATCATCTTACAGTTGTGGAGTCATGCTACAACCGCCTACTAGCCACACTTGTAGAATCCTTGCAAAGAAAATGGCAACTCACAGTAGCAGTGCATTTTCATTATTTCTTTTGTAGTGGGCTAATAAGTACCCCTGGGGATGCTTGGGCTGGAATCCCAGTAGAAGCTTTACTAAAGTAATTAAAATATTATGGTAATAAGTACCTGAGAGTGCTGATGGGAAAGGTTGTTTCATTTCCTTATTGGAAGAATAGCAAACTAAGTTGTGGGAGCATGCTTTGATGTCTAGAATAGCCTTGCATCTTGAAATTAATTCTGATACAGAATTCAATTCAAACTGGAACCATTCCTCAATTACAACTTGATATATGGATTTGTACCACATTTAAAATTTGGGTGTCTATACACAGAGAGTCCATATTTCGGTTTTACAGGACATCTGATTTAGAACAGACTCTTAGGCTTAATTTACAGAGAAATCTTACTTGCTGATTTATACTGTGTTGACCATAGTTCTTGATATTCCTAATTAGCTTAGAGCTTAATACTGTAGCCATTTTTAATCTTTTGAACAATATATTCAGTAACAGAATGCAGTACAGAATGTGGCAGCATGGGCAGTTTTGGGTGCCCCTAGGGCTGCGCGTGTAACAACTCTGCTGCGTGAGCTACATTGGGTGCCAGTTTGCTTCCGGGTCCAATTCAAGGTGTTGGTTATCACCTTTAAAGCCCTTCATGGCACGGAGCCAGGTTACGTGAGGAACCGCCTTGTCCTGGTAACATTGGCCCGTCCCATCAGGTCCGGCAGGAAGGACACATTGCAGACCCCATCGGCTAGAGAATTTTGATTGGCGGGTTCTAGGAGGAGAGCTTTTTCTGCTGTCACCCCCACCCTGTAAAATATCTGGCCCCCCAAGGTGAGGCTGGCTCCCACTTTTCTGGCCTTCTGGAAGAGTGTTACGACCTGGCTTTGCCGACCAGCTTGGGGATCCAATGGAGGTTCCCAGCACTGGAGGCGGTTGGAGCCTTGAGGATGCTCTGTCTGTCCATGTTTGTTTGTTTGTTTGTTTATTTATTTTATTTATTTATTTATTTATTAAATTCATATGCCGCCCATCTTCCCCAGAGGGTGACTCTGGGCGGCTCACAATCAAAATCAAACCCTAAAAACAGTAAAAATATAAATATCCATATCAAATTAGCTAAAATTTAAAATTAAATTAGCTTTTAACTTTCTTTGTAGTCTTTTAACGTGCTTTGTAGTTTTTAAATGTTTTCATGCTGCTTATTTGTGAGCTGCTTGGAGTCACTGATACTGAGATGGGCGGCGTATAAATTTGATGTATAAATAAATAGACAAACTATAATCTCTGACATTTTTAATCCCTTGTTTAATCATTTCTATTTTATTCCTGTATTTTTTCTTGTTTCTTCTCTTCATCACTGTTTATGAATCTTCTTTAAAACGTCTGATAATAAAAAGAAATGCCAGAAAGAGAGAGAGAGAGAGAGAGAGAGAGAGAGACGACAGGAGGCTGCTTCCCAGAAGCAGCATCTTCACCTGCTCACAGAACTGGCCATGGGGATCGGCACCTAAGGATGTCGCACATATTGGCTGAACAGGTGGCTAAGCCGCCGTCCTTCGGCGCAGTCCCCCAGGGTACCAATGACACTAGTGGCAGGTACAGTAAAATCTCGGCACCTCCGTCTCCCCACCTCCTGACGGCGAGAGGCTGAACAGGCCAAGGCAGTTCCTCCACATAAGTAAGTAAATGCATAAACCGGGCGGGCGCAATCGTCGGGCCTACCTGTCCGTGCGCCCCGCGGCTCCCAGGCATGCCGCGGCGGGTCGGCTTACTCGTGCCCCATCCAGGTGCCTGCGATCCCCCGGGCCAGCCTGCGCGAACGCTTCGCTCGTCCTCGGACTACAACTCCCACCCCTCCCGCCGCCGGCTTCCGGCGCGAGCCAGGGGGCTTGGCTCGGTGTCCTCCGCGCTGCCGGGGGGGCTTTCTTTACTAAGACCGGCGCTGCTCAGAAGTGTGGATGGGGAGAGGCGACAGCCGACACGCTGTAGCTCGGACGAGAGTCGCTTTCGAATCGGCCTAACTGACACGGCCGGTTTTAGCTTATCTTTTCTCTTCTCCGATTCAGGCATTTCCAGAGACAGCCCCCGAAGCTGGGTCGCTTAGCAATGACGCAATCGCCGAGCGCGGCCTTGCATGCGGCGTCCTGAGGGCTGCTTCGATGTCCGTGACCGGCTGCGCGCGGTTGCTCTCCCGGCTCCCCTCCGGCCAGTTCCGCTGCGGATGCCCTCTGGCTCTCCGGAGCCGGGGCGGTGGCCTGAGCCGGGCGTCCTCTGTCCCTGCCACGGCGAGAATCGCTTTCTTCGCTTCCTCCAATGGCGACGAGGACTCGGGCGTCAAAGGCCTGGACACGTCCTTGTTCGTGCCGCTTCCCGTGACCCCGCAGACTTTCGGCACGGAGGACGACGTCGGGGCCGAGCTCACGAGCCCTCTGAATAAGAGTAAGCGGGCGGGGAGGAAAGGCCCGCGCGACAAGCGGCCGGGCCCGCTTTCCCGCGCATTTCCTTTGGCTGCGGCGGGCTTGTCCCCGAGGGCTGCTGGGCGCCGGCGCTGGGCAGGCTGTGCCCGGGGAATCAGGAGCCACGCGTGGCCGGTGCTGGCTGAGGGTTGGCCGTCCTTGAGCCTGGCTCGCTTGGAGGCCTCCTGCTTGGGAGGGATGGCAGGAGGCCTCCTGCTCGGTGGGATGGCAGGGGAAGGATTTCAGAGCGAGAAAAGCCTCTGGGGCTTACCTGAGCAGCGATGAAACGCACAGCAAAGTCAAAGGCTGCGTGCTGAAGGCAAGCCCGAAGTTGTGCTTCTCACCAAATTTGCTTTTTTCCCCTCCCATCTTTTTTTCCCTTGTAAATAGGATATTTACAGGATTAGTAAATGTAGATTAGTAAATGGGATATTATCAAATCCGTTTGTTACACCCTAAGGCCAGATACAGTAAATATCCAATAACGGAACTGTTACATACATCTCTCTATAGATAACAGAAAAACAATAAGAATAATCAGGTCTAAAGATAAATCAGAACATGTATAATAAAATAAAAATAGTATTATACAAGTGATGAATAAATAAGTAGGATATTACATATTGATGTTGCAAGGGAACAGTTTCAGTGACAAAGTAGAGGCAGTGCATGTAAAGCAACCATTTGCAATTCTGCCTGCCTGCTTAGAACAGCTATCACATTTGGAAGTTCCAACTGGAGATTTGTAGACATCTCCAAATGCAGTGGGTTCCATTTCTTTTTCTTAAGAAGCATTTTTTTTCTTTTTTTAATGACAGCAGATTGATGGAAAAACTAGCCTTTTCTACATGAAACTATTGTTTATTTTGTTCTAGATGCCTTATATTCTCTCTTTCAGCTGCTAGGGTTTCAGAGGAGAAACATAGCATACAAGACAGTTAAAAACAAAGTCATACATTGTAATACCATGCTATGAAAACCCTTGAATCTACATAGCATGTAATATACATACCTGCCCACTAATCACACTATTCCCTTTATGGAATAAGAAATCTTATGAAAGCAAGAAAAAATGTAAGAAGTTATGAGTAAAAGAAAAAAATTAATCAAAACTGCTCTGCATTTTCTATTCTTTTAATCTTAACTGTTCTTTGTTCTCTGATTACATTCTTTGCAACCATGGTTTTCTCCCTACACATATGCAATATATTTCTTTCACTCTAATTTTTTTGTATTAATAATTGTAGAAACATTTTTTTCTTATTCACTTTCACTTCATAACCACCAAGCATCCTTTTTAAACTTCTCATTTAGCAAAATTCCATACATTTCTGTGGCACTTTGAACATAATTCTTTTTACTCTCTTCCAAGCAGCTTCCACATCCTCTTTTTTATGCTTACTTGTCTATTAATTCTCTTGGGAGATTATCTTCTAATACTTTTTCAGATAGGTCTCATGCTTTCTTCTCCTGCACTTATGCATCTCATTGCTTTTATTTCTTCCATGTCATTTTTTCCTCCAAGATCCACTGTTAAAAATACCATCTAATGGTTGCATCTTTTTCTGAGTTCATACAGTAACCATGTGATCCCAGAGAAAGAGGTGATTGCAGGCAAGATGTGACAGAGTGGGTTATAGGCATGCTTTCAAGATTTACTCATTTATTTTCCTGGGAAAATGAGGCTAATGTGAGAGCCCAGAAAAAGACAGAGCTTCTTTAAGAGTTGCTGGTAGGTTTGACATACCTGACATACCTTTGCCTTTTCCAAACACCTTTTCAGCTTGGGATCCAAAGTGCTGGTCATCCCTATTCTTAAGTTTCAATGATGATTCTTAGCTCCAAATATGGATTTGTAGTGGGAGAGTTCACAGAATACCCTATTATAGCTTAATCATGAGAGAGTTTAGTCACTCCTACCATTTCTTACTACAACTCAGCATGCTGCGAATATAATGCAATACGATATATTTATTACATTGTGGAAGAACACTTTGTTTTGTTCTTTCAGAACCAGAGAGAAAAACACTGTTAACTGATTTCTCTAGTGTTTTTTTTTTTTAATGACCAATCCACAATCCTTGGGGTGGAATAACAGAAACTTGCTTGCTAGATTCTCTCTGTAGTTTCTTGTAAGAGGAGGCAGCAGGAATGATGAAGGAATGACTGAATTCACTGTATGTGAACTGAGACAGTTTTTGTGTGACAGCTGCTTCTTTCCAAAGCTTTCTGGATAACTTCAGAATTATTGAGGAAAAAGTTTTCCTTGCATTTGTACAACCCATTTTTTGATTCAGTAAGCATGACAGGGTCTATATTTTGTCTTCTAGATGAAGCATTGAAAGCATTAAATAAATTTTGCAAGAGGAGAGAAGTTCAAAAACTGGCAGCAGAAAATGGACTAGATGGTATGTAGTTCTTGGGGATAAATTAATATTACTGGATGTTTCTTTCAGCTGTTAGAAAACCACATGTTTAGATCTGATCTCTTTTTGAGTGTTACATTCTAAGCTGGGGCAGGCATTTTTTTCTTCAATTGGGGCCTAGTCCTACTCTTCCTGTTCCTCTTCGAGAGCAACAAGAGGGATTATGATAATGTCACTGGAATGGGAGGGGCTGAAATTTTTGACCTGTTAGGTTTTTAGTTCTTCTTTACAAATTGGTTACATGGAAGCTGTGTATTACCCTACAGATCCTGCTTCTAAATCTGGTCTTTTGTGACTAGCATTATGCCTGAATGTTACAGTATAATAAAAATGTAGGCTTAGGTTATCAGGTCTCTAATATTTGAAATGTCTTGAAGAGCATGTTAGTAACTAAATCCACTTGAATAGCTCTGTTAAAAAGAAAGGATTATATAATTATTAAGTTTCATTAACATGTGTTTTAGAGTATTCTTACTGAGATTTGATTCAGATTTTAGGAATTTTGAATGTTATGTGCAGTACTGAACTTTGGTTTATTCTTTTTCTTTACAGCTCGTCTTTTTCATCAAGTATTTATAAGTTTTAGGAAGTACATTATGGAGTCTAGTTTTCTGAATCCTGATTTGCACATTATTCTCAATGATATATGCTGTGGTGCAGGTAAGTGTATAGAACAGCCTTCTGCAGTCTGATGCTCTTCGGATGTATTTTATGGACTCTGATAATTTTCCCATCATCATGGCCAGATTTATAGTTCGGATCACCTAGAGGCACCAGGTTGGGGGTGTCTGATGCTTGGAACATCAAAACATTTCATAAGCATCCTCTTAAAAAAAGCTCTCTTATTTATATAGTTGAATAGTAAATATTATTAGACATATTCATGAATGAATGAATCAAATTTATTACAGTCATTGAGCAGTGATTAATGCAACTTTATAGCAGAAATTATAGAATAGAAGAAAAATTAAAAACCAAAGAAGGAAGGCTAAATAGATGCATGTATAAAATAGAAGGTATTAAGTACAAAGCTTGGGATAATAAAAATATTAAAAGTAAATTGAAATAAGATATCAATTATGTTAATATTAATAAATGTTAAACTTACTTAAACACTAACTTTTATCTTTTGTGGAACGCTATTTATATAGTTTGAAACAGCATCAAATGTCTTATGTTTAACTCAGAATTGTCATATTTTCTGATGGTCATTTGGAAACACTTCCCAGTTAATTTTTAGAGGTGTGAAAGATTGTGTACTGACAAAAACTGTTTAGCAAACTACAGATACCCTGAATGTGCCATTGAAATGTGGTATACTTGTGATTTTTAAAATCTTTTTCTCTCCTTTCTTCTCTCAGGGCACGTTGATGATCTGTTTCCATTTTTCTTGAACCATGCTAAGCAGATCTTTCCTATGCTGGAGTGTATGGACGATCTGCGTAAAATCAGTGATTTAAGATTGCCTCCAAACTGGTTAGATTTTTAAATCACATATATCTTCCATGTAAACATTAGCATAGGTATTTGTGCTGAAACATTTATATCTACTTATAGTTAACATGGATACATTATGTTACTGGAAATTATAAGCTGATTTTTATCTATTTGAAATGTTGGAGATTGGATTTGAGATTACCTAGTTTTATATAAAACATCTAACTATATATTTTGAGATTTCAATAATATTTATATCACTTCACTGATGCTGGATTTTGCTCATTTTAGTTTGGAGTAAGTTCTATTCAGTTAAATTAGGGTATGCTTGAAATTAATGAGCATAGGATTTTAGTCCATGGTTGGATTTACATGTTGCACTTAACTAAACATTGGTTGGTTTGTGGCTTAGTGTCTTGGGTAAGGCCAGTCACTGTACATCAGTACACTGTCACTTGGTGTGATACGCAAACTAATTTACATCTGAGCCATACCTTGCACAGGGTCTTATTTGAAATAATTGCATATACTGTATATATACAGTACTGTGCAGA